TTGTCAAGAGGGAGCGAGAAAACTGCTTTTTGAGCAAACCTTTTATTATGGAATCATGCGTAGCATGATACAAAAAAGGAGGTAGTTTCAATAAACAACTNAGTATTATCATCGGCCTTGCCACTTTGATAATATTAAAACAATAAATCGGAGTGTTTTCCTTCCCATATTTATACCAATGTAATAATATTTCAAATCAAAAACCTTTATCAGTGCTTGGTACTTTTTTTACTTACGTAGCTCGCACTATTTTTATTAAAAATATATAAAATATAGACTATTAAAGAAGCCTTCATCGTAATTGTTCTTTTTATTTTATAATAAAAACCACGCGCGCATTATGCTGTTATTTTTTCGTTTTTTTAATTTTGAATGCAATCTTGCGATCTAAAAATCTAATTTTAAAGAATCTTCTTCCCAAATAAAAACTTTTAATATTTTGGTTCAAATTTACTTTTAAATTTCTCATCAGATTTTGCAACAAATTAGCTTTCACAAATTTTGAACTTAAAGTTTCTATTGTATGCAAAAAACCTGAAGGCCGCTTGAACGGACTGCCCTCCAATAAACAATTAACATATCGTCGTATAAAGTACAAAACCGCGTATCAGCAAAATGCAAAACCGCCTATGTGAAATTGTAGAAATTATTTTCTAGAGTGTAAAAACACGCATCTTCCAAAATGGTTCTCTTTTTAATAAAGCAATCGCATATCTGCTTAGTATATGTCAGTTACGCGGTTTTGCAGAACGGCGATACGCGGTTTTGTACTTTAAACGACGATATGTAAGTATAATTTTGATCACTTTCTTCATGCGTTCTGAAACCTAGTCATCAACACCATTTTCGAAATCATGTAGGCGGCATAATTTTAAAGTCCATCATATTCCACATCTTTGAATGTGCTGATAAAATCTTCTGCTTTAAAAAAAAATTTTTTTCTAGTGATCAGGTACCATGAATTTGATGAAATGTCATAATTTTATTAAAAGTCAAATGGTTAACAACAACAACGAATGTCATTAAATGGAACTACCTTCTTTTTTGTATCATGATGCGTAGTATGCTCATAAATAAATTTTGTTTGTACCTACGTTTGAAAATATATCAAGGGAGTTCAAGATTTGTAGCATTTTAGATGTTTTTTATCCCATTTGGCCATAATGCGTGGACTACGATTACAGTATTACGTAATTGTTAAATTTTAAGGATTACAATTAAAGTTTTCGCAGTCAAGTATATCATAATTACAACTACAATAATCGGAATGTTAAATATTTTTTCGATTACAATTATTAATCGTAAACCTAAGTAATCTAAATGTAATCGCAATCCCAAGTGCTCAGCTCTGGTGTTAGCTAAGCTTATCTGGGGATTTTTACGTTGATGACATGGCAAGTTTACTTAGTATCTGTTTATGAGGCAGCGAAAATGTTAAAATGTTCTTTCCTGGCACGCATTTTTAACTTTCATTTTTAGACACCTTTGCGTACGTGCCATGAAGATTTTGCCTGCGATGGCCCCTAGTAAAATTTTCTGGAGCACATCAATCATCTAGCGAACTTCCAAATTTTAATTTTGATGGATCTCTTGAAGTAAGGGTCAAAACGACCCTTTCAGGCGGGAGCTATGAAATTTTACTACTTACATACATCTAAACATTTCATATCATTACTGGATAGATAAACTTTCAGAAAAATTTAATAGTGTCCGGGCTGGTTTTGGCTGTCGCACAATGTTGTAATTTATTTTCTTTCGAAAAATACCCAACAGATATACATTTATAGCGATTTTGACCATACACATACCTACCAACCATAACCAAAAAATTCGAAAGTTCTAGAGATATGCCCATATATTAGGCTATACTGTTTGTTTTTACTTGATCATTTATAAATTTATTGAGACAGAAAATATGTATTTACAAATTAAATATCTTGAACTTCTGTGTATTTCTGTTAAAGTGTCCTGTTGTTTAATGCTGTAGGTGTCATTAATCGATTTGACCTTTATGAGTGATGTATGTATCATATAAAGATGCACCCTTGCTGCGTTGCTTGAGACGAGAACATGTCAACATTAATGCACCTGAAAGTACACACATCACCACCGAAAATGTAACAGTAAGCGCAGAAAACGTTGACGTTTTTAGGCAGGTTTGATGTTTAGGGGGCTCTAAGCGGTGGGCATATGAGTAAATGTCATCACCGTCAGATTCTCCTTCTTGCAGTACCCTCAGCGATTGAAAGAGGTTGACATTCTCCGACAACGAGCCATCTGGTTTTACTGTGTTGACCTCTTCTGCAGTGATTTTAGAATCAAGTGATAAATCTGAAAGCGTAGCAGCTACTTCTACTGATGGCGTCGTTGCTGGCATCACGGCTGATTTTAAGTCCGATGCCGTTGAATTGGATATGTCACGTTTAGTCACAGCTTTCAAATTTCTCCAGTGGCATGGCTGGCTCTGAAAGAAGAATTCTTTTAGTATAACAAGTAGCAAACGGTGAACTATGTGCGGTTTATACAGGGCATCGGCCATGACACATTCGAACATCGCATTCAATATAAAGGGCTGGCGATCCAGTAAAGCGGAAAGTCTTCATATAAGCGTACACCTGTGTTTCGAATACTCCGGATTCTGACCACGAACCACGGAAACGTGAAATTAATTTATCATCAACTGGACAGCCGTATTCATCTATGAGCTGGATTCTCTTGTTAGCACCATTGTGAGCATAGCAATCATTTACCACGATGTCAAAGCCATCTGTCGAATGATACGTATGTATGTAGCGAATATATGGATTCGCTTGTACAGTCCTAATAAAAAGTATACAAACCGTATTTGCTGCGCATGTAAATGATCAAAGTAAGTGGGTCGCCGACACGCACTGGTCCGGTGACACGTGGTCCGCCGATACCGTATCCATTTTGTATTTCCATGTAGCACTCAGGGGGACTTAGAGTAAAGACGACAGGATTACCAGTCGCTACTCTGTTTGACGTCAGTTTAAAATGCATTTAAGTAAAAAGTTCCATAAGATAAATATCATTACCGTAGTATAGAAAGGCTAAGCTATTAGAACTTACTCAACATCTAAAAATGGAAAAGTGACCGTCTTCCAAAAATCATAGCCATACTCGCAAGTGACTTTGAAATGTTCATCGTATTCTTCTTCTATAAGCGGGTTGTATTGAACTGTCACAGTGTTCCACATAAAGTTCTATTACATAAAAATATATACATATAATCAAATATTTTTTAAACAGATTTTCTTAAATTTTACAGTTGGATTTTTCCTCTTTTCGTCATGAAGTGCATTTTTTCCCAAAGTTCCGCAGCGATTTAACTGAATGTAGAACTCATAATAGTCTCGACCTGAACCATTTATGTACATGCAGTCAGGATCATAAGCATAGCCTGCCGAATACACTAGCCCGCTGAAGGTGGAGTTAAAGCCAATCCGTATTTTCATGTAGTCGTCTTGACACTCAGCCTCTATATCTGTGTGATGGAATGTATGTAGAAATTAGTAGCAGTACATTGAAGTAGCCTTTAACAATATGGAACAATATTGAGGAACATTTGTTTTTTTTTAGAGTGCACAAAATTATATGAATATTTTCGAATTATTTATTCATACAAATTTTCAGTTCAATGGAATTATCTGAAGAATCTTTTAACCGATAAAGCAAATATTACTAGTATGGAGCAGATTTCCATGCAAATGCATGTATATTTTGCACATCTGGTACACAAAATAAAAAAAATAACTTTTTGAACTATCAAATTTTATTTAATACGGCCTCACGGTGTGCTTGAACCAAGTTTAATGCAAAAGTTTTCTATGCTGGGATTTTCCTATCGGATGGGGCTCTGTGGCATTCTAGGAACGGTTTACCGTCAAAATAAAAATCGGCGAACGGACCCTTTGCGAGAAAAATCGATTTTAGTATCGGTGACTTTTTCCATTATTTAAGAAAGAAAAATAAAATACGCAGAAAGCACTGTTGCCAGCTTTTCTGAATTCAAAACGCGAAAATTTTTGAGTTTGATGCCTAGTGCTTCTTTTTTTGGTTGGAAGACACCAAAACTGTAAATGTGAAACATAAATGGAAGTTAAATTTGGAAACAAAATAACGTCACAATGACAATCATAAGCGAAAGAGCATATGTTTGTCACAAAAATATGTGGCAGCACTTCCAGTCATGCCAGAATTACATAAGGTAATTTGCCATTGCCTGAAAAATCGTCCATATGGCTGGGACCAGAAATCGATCTTAAGACCTTTAGTTTGGACTGAATTTGTTATATTTTTTAGGAATACTAAAAAAAAAGCACCAGCATCACCTAACAGTAAAATTAATAACGAACCTTTGTAAAAAGGATTAATTGAGTAGGCAGCTTTTTTTACACAAAAAGAGCTTTTCCACTATGCGCGGTGGATGCGTTCAAATAAGACACTTTAAAAAGGGACATCAAATTTTGTTATGTTTCAGGTGTGAATCGGTCTGAAAGAAAAGTTCTTTACGTTCCTTTAGTTCACGAGATCATAAGAGACTACAGTGTAAATTTAAACTTCCACATAGTTCATGAAACTTCATTTTTTGTTGTTACTTTCCTTTGATAGGAATTGTAGAAAAAATTAAGCAAAACGAAGAAAAATTAGAAAATAAGTACCAAAATGTTTACGTAGTGTCGTTCGCACTGAAATATTTGAATTTATAGAAAATAGAATAAATTCGACCACCAAGCAAGAAACATTAAATTTTATTAATTTGAATCGGCATACCTACAATAAAATTCTGTATGCACATAAAGTCCATTAAAACCTCCAATAAAAAATTTGGTGCTTTTTTCGAGAAAAAACGCGATTTTTCGTGGGTTTTAGTGCTTTCAAATTCAAAACTTGGCAACACTGGCAGAAAGTCAGTAAGAACCCAGTTACACGATATGTATTTCCATATGTAAATGCTATTTTTCTAATGCGCTCTAATATATGATATATATGTAAGCGTACATGCAAAAAGGTAGCATTTACATGTGCAAATACATATTATTATTATTATACATATCGTGTAAGAGCCCTGTAACACAGGTCAACAAAAATGAGAACAAAAATTGGTGCGGCAAATGTTAAAGCTGTTTTTGATAGATTCTTTTGTGCTGGTTACGAATCCGTAAGTATAAAATTTCCATCAGCTCGAGATTTTCAGAAAATGTTTTTTTTTTTTAATATTTTAGAAGCTCAAGCAAAGAAACAAAATGTGATAGAACCTGCCACTTACGCCTAAACTAAATCTAGAACTCTCGTCTACTATCCCTAAAAATACCACCCCTGGTTCAAGATCTTGTGGTCACTTATAGTCATTTAAGGTGTTCTTACACGAAATGTATTTGCATCTGTAAATGTGACTTTTTTCAATACATATGTAATTGCCTATGTCTGTCAAATTCACAGTCTTTATTTAACTATTTAAAAATACGTTCTTTAAAAACGAAATAAACTAAACTCAAATGAATCTATCTGCGTGTCAGATGAAAGTAGAAACATTTCTATTTCACATGTACGTGCATCTGCTTTGTACAGAAACAAATCTAAATTGCTTTTACACGATATGTTGGCATTTCCTAACATAACTTTCATGTTCGGGATATAGATTCTTTGCAGCAATAGAAATATTATCGTGTACAAATTTTATATAAATTCAGAAAATATTGAGCGTTTTAAGGCAAACAATTTTTGAAAAAAATAGCAAATTCTTTTTATTACCAAAATGCTCGAAAACGGCTCGAATGATTTTGTTTTTGTTTTCTTTGATCAAAAACTCAGGTATTTTCCTTTCGTTTGGTATATGGGAAGTATTGGTTGATATCTTCTAAGTATATTTATTTTATTCAAATATATGCGCATAAACATGTATGATAAGTGAGAGAAGGAGACAAAAAGTATGTGTATGATGTCGCAATATTTATAACCTAATCGCAGCGTATGTATGTAAATGCATACATACATATCGTCGTTTAAAAAGCAAAACCGCGTATCAACAAAATGCAAAACCGCGTATGTGAAGTTGTAAAAATTATTTTCTAGAGCATAAAACCACTCATATTTCAAAATGGTTCTCTTTTTTATAAAGCATTCGCATTTTTGGCCAAGAGCTTATGTGGGCAAATCCAATTTTTGGCAGCCAATGCCAGTTACGCGATTTTGCAGAATGACGATACGCGGTTTTGTGCTTTAAACGACGATATATATTATTTCACAGATCTTAGGGTCAGCTTAGAAACACGCCACCAGAATTATTTAAAATTTAAGTGGGAATTATTTTTATTTATAACGTAAAAGCGCTATCTGATTCAATCTGATAAATATATTTTCCCTAAATTTAACCCATTTTATTTACTCATTCTTTGTCTTTCGTGAAAATATATATTTTATTAAAAATGTTCAGATATGTACATTTATTTAAAAATTTTTGCTTTCATTTTTGTCTCCTTTTAATATTTAATTAGATACGTTAAGATTGTAATAAGCTTAAAACGAGCACAGTNTTCAGAAAATATTGAGCGTTTTAAGGCAAACAATTTTTGAAAAAAATAGCAAATTCTTTTTATTACCAAAATGCTCGAAAACGGCTCGAATGATTTTGTTTTTGTTTTCTTTGATCAAAAACTCAGGTATTTTCCTTTCGTTTGGTATATGGGAAGTATTGGTTGATATCTTCTAAGTATATTTATTTTATTCAAATATATGCGCATAAACATGTATGATAAGTGAGAGAAGGAGACAAAAAGTATGTGTATGATGTCGCAATATTTATAACCTAATCGCAGCGTATGTATGTAAATGCATACATACATATCGTCGTTTAAAAAGCAAAACCGCGTATCAACAAAATGCAAAACCGCGTATGTGAAGTTGTAAAAATTATTTTCTAGAGCATAAAACCACTCATATTTCAAAATGGTTCTCTTTTTTATAAAGCATTCGCATTTTTGGCCAAGAGCTTATGTGGGCAAATCCAATTTTTGGCAGCCAATGCCAGTTACGCGATTTTGCAGAATGACGATACGCGGTTTTGTGCTTTAAACGACGATATATATTATTTCACAGATCTTAGGGTCAGCTTAGAAACACGCCACCAGAATTATTTAAAATTTAAGTGGGAATTATTTTTATTTATAACGTAAAAGCGCTATCTGATTCAATCTGATAAATATATTTTCCCTAAATTTAACCCATTTTATTTACTCATTCTTTGTCTTTCGTGAAAATATATATTTTATTAAAAATGTTCAGATATGTACATTTATTTAAAAATTTTTGCTTTCATTTTTGTCTCCTTTTAATATTTAATTAGATACGTTAAGATTGTAATAAGCTTAAAACGAGCACAGTAACCCTTTTCTGTTAATCTTGAGCACACAAAACCCTTTTTTGTTAAAATTCGGTGCTGCACAAAATCTTAGCTTTCCAAATCCATCAAAATACCACTTCGCAACCCTGGATTTTCCCGAAGCGTTTCGTTCGGGTCGTAGTTTTGCAACTTCGGGTCATTCGGCGTTGTTTGCCATATTGTCTGCCATATTGTTCACACTGTCATCGCCATACTGAATACCCTGTCAATTATCTGTCAACCCTAGGATATCTCACTTGTATTCTTCCACAATGATCTCCGCATTCTGGCCAGACTTCCAGCTAGTTTTTCAACCCTTCGCGAGTTAAAAACATGGTTGCGTAGTACCATGAATGAAGCACTTTTATACGTACAGTTATGGTGAAAAAATACTATTACATTGAAAATATGCAAAATCGTAGTCTATGTGCAAGTACTCCATACCTTTCCGATATTGAATAGGTATCGGTACCTTGTTTGATATAAGTACAAGTATTGATTTGAGTAATACCTTGATGATATCAATTTATTGCTTTAATAAACCCAACGTATAACTTTTTATCTTGCGTTTTTTTTTGCAAAATAGTATAATTTTTTTGTTACAGGGGACTTTGTAAATGGACCTTGCAGCAAATTCATAAAATGAAACATCCTAAAAGTAAAATTATGTCAAATTTGCATTGAAAAATAAAGGAGGGTCAAGCAGGTTGGATGCTTGTAGGTCATATAGCTCGGACTTTGATTGGTCCCTCCCCGGTGAATCCAGTTAGATGCCTGTAATTTAGCGTTATGTGACAAGTTGATCCCAATCGTCCCCCCTCAAATAAAATCCTGTATCCGCCACTGATGCTAGGAGAGCTTCTCAAACAATATTGATGAATTTTTTCAAGTTAGGTTGTTGAAAAAAAAAACAAATTTATATCTCAATCTCGGGGCTAAACCCGGAATTCCAGAAATGCCGGGATCGTAAAAATCTAATTAAATTAATGCATATATTTAAATAGCTTTATTAAAATCACCACATACGTTGTACTCGAGTACTGTTGTATACAAAATGTTTGTTATAGTCTCGTTCCCAGTAATCATTGGTCCATTTATCCGCTTCATAAGACACTGTTTGATAGCCGGTGCCGCCATCATTTGAAATCGCACTCACTCCAGTGGGGTCATATTCCGGCGGTACTAGGTGTGGTCGACCTATCCGATAAGGAATATGTCCCGATGAATCGGGAATATGATCCTAAGAAGAGTAGAGTAGTAGAAATACATATATAAATATTAAAATCTGCAAATAGTCTGTAAATCTGTAAATATCGAACCCCTTCTTGACGAAGTTTACTGCGTGCAACGGTGTCTCCAGTGCGATTAGTATTCTCTTTGCTCACTTTCTAAATAGAAAAAAAAAAAAATATTATTTGTGAAATACCAAAATGTACGTGTGTACTTTATGCTTTATTTCAGCGGCAGAACCAGCCCGTTTTGCCAGCTTAGTTGGCATTGGCGTTGTTGTTGAGTTTGGCCTACTAATATATGATTTAGATGATAATGACACAAGCGACTGCTTTGAGGGTTCCGCGTTTTTTTCGGATCCTCTGTTGCCCGAATTGTCCATTCTAACTGCAGCTTTAGGCAGCAACGGGTTCTTAAAAACTTTTGTGCTACGATTGGTGATGGGATTCGCTTTGCTTCCAGAACTATGTTCAGTGTTTAAATCAACTGTTATTACTGTCGTGAGCAATGATAGCTGTAAAAGGAGATTTGAAACGATAAAAGTTTACCATACTGCTTTAAATTTTAATAATAACAACAATAAGTATATTATGTATGTATTCGTTTTTCTTCTTTTTAATTCATAAACGCTACTCTAAGTTAGTACCTACTTTTTGACATAATTTTCAATGCAATAGCTGCTACTAACTTTGACTGGCGTAAGTCCTAACACCTGGCATTACCAAGGCGCGTTCCTTGGTAGTCGAAATATCCAAAAATTGCAGAAAAGAGTTTTCGAAAGCGGTCTCCTCTTGATAGCAGATCCTTCCATTCGTGTGATACCATCAAAACGCACAAACCGTACCAAACTCTAACAAAAATGTGGAAGCCAAGCCTTTATATTTTTTACTTATTCGAAACAAAAAAATTAATTTAGAAACTTTTTTCAGACATGGATGGCATAATTATACCCCAAATTGATATTTCACGGCATGTCGGTTAATTCATTTTGAGCGAAAAAAATTAAATATGAAACTTCTCCTCGTCGTACGAGTGCAGTATCTATCTTATACGAATAGCAACTCACATTTTCGCATGTATGTACATTGTACATACATAATACTAATAGATTGACGCTTACACAATATGCTAGTGTTTGGCAGAGCTTCTCCTCCGATTTGTGGCGTGCGCCTTGATGTTGTCACACAAAGGAAGGGGCCTACAGAAAGCTGTGTTTCATGGCAGAATAGACTCGGAGGTTTGCCATCGCCTGCCCAAGGGCGACCGCTATTAGAAAAAAAAACGTTTTTATTTTCTGGGCTCGATCCCAGGCCTTGCGGAATGACATGCGTTCTCCTAACCATTACACCACAGCTGCCGCTTGTATGTACATATATGTATATGTATAAACCTACCATCAAAAACAAACTTTTCTCCGAAGAAATTATATATCNTCTGCATCTGTTCTTCTTTTACTCTCATTTGAGAGCGTAAAATTGTAGTTTGACAGTTCCACAGGTTTTAGTCCGAAGTTCAAAGGAACAGACTAAGTATTAAATGATAATCCGCAACGAGCGGAAAGTTACCAAATGAAATTAAAAGTTTTCAAGTTACCAAACAGAAAGAAATTTACCATTTTTGGCAACAAATTACCAAAGCGGCAACCGTGGTTTGAACAATGTTTGTAACTAATATGTTGGAAATATTATAATATTAGACAGAAAATTACCGGATCAGCTGCCAATGCATTAAAAATTAAGGCTCAATTTTCAAATGTGGGGTTTTTTGCTTTTTACTGCTTTGTTTTGGCTCTTCACACCCCCTTGATGTTTTATTTATGTCCTTTCTATTGAATACGGTGTTATTTCTGCTGCGACCACCGTACCCGAGATATTATAGGTGCATACTTCCCTGTACAAGCTATGTAGGTTCGGTTATTGGGGGCGAATTATCGTTCTATGGAATTGCGAAGTGAAAATGAAAAATTCAATGCAGTGAAAATTAAATTTGTTCCCTTTATCATGGGATGCAATGATTTTAAGCGATTCTCGATCGTTATAGACTTTTCCATTAACATCTAGCACGTAAGTATTTGGTAAATTGTTTGTTAGTTTAATAGCGTTTTCTTTTCGACAAACAATGTTGCCTTTTCAATGCCTTTTCAGCAGAATTTTTTCCCCAAATTTTTCAAAAAATCATTTTCATTTACTATTTTAAAGGCAATCTTCATCGCTTCGATGAAGTCCCTTTTATTTTCGGTTTTTTGCATGAAAAATGTTGCATACAAGTTTAGCACACTACTTTTAATAATAAATAAACTTAACAAGAAATAATAATAATAATAAGAGGCAACTTATTTGTGAAGCTTTCTGGTACATTTTTTAGCAAGTTGCTCTTCAGTACAACAGTGTTCGTCGAATCGACGAAGATTAGCCGTTTAGGATAATTTTGACGTTTCCGGAAAGTACCGTTACATACTAAGCAGAGCGGTTTTACCCCTATTTCCAAAATTTCGATAATATGTTCAGTTAGACGTAGTGCCGCTTTCTCATGAAGGTTTTAAAGCTTATCTGCCTTTCAAACACATTTATTCAGAACAAAATTTGTGTTTATAGGGCAGATAAAAAATTCCTTAATAATCGTATTCATTTAAGCGATTGTTGTGAGCATCCACTTTGAGAAATTTCGAAATGTCAGAGTTTCCGCATATCTGAAATTGACCATTATATGAAAAGAGAAAAGAGAGCGTGGTTTTAGTTCGATTTCAAAATTTTCCAACATACATATTGCTTTTTTGTATAAAGTACAAAAATGATACCGTGTTCAAGAAGGTCAACAACTGTGGAGGTTACCGAGATATACACGTATAATAGGGTTGCCAGATTTTTTTTATGCGGGATATCAGTTCGTTAGACTTTTTCATGCTAAAAAAATCAGTACTTTTCAGTACACTTTTTTATTCAAAGCGAAATTATGAATGTAAATAACTTTAAAACGCCAGTGTAATTATTTTTAACAATATTTTGGTATATAATTAAAATATAGTTCATAAAAAATTAAAATGTTATTCATTTTAACATGAGTGTACACTAGGGTGGTCCAATAATTCATATGAAAAAGTAAAGTCGGAATTTTTATGCTCTCACCCCCTAGGATTGTTCCATACCGAAAAAAATATACCCTAATATTTTTATTTTGAAATCAAAAAATATTTAGAGGTCGCTCAAAGCGCCTAAAGTTATCCAAATATTTTATATGGGGCAAAAATAACTTTTTGTAGAAATGGTATAGAATAGTTAAAAATCAATACTTTTCTATTGTTTATCTGCAAGAGATTCCCAGTAATAATACCCAATTATTTATTTAACCATTTTTTCATTGCAACTATAATTTATAAGTCCGCCAAAAACCCCCTAAAAAAAACCCGAAAAATGCAATGGGGCGACCAATAAAAAATCGTTAGTATTAAAACATGGTTAAATAGACAATTGGGTATTATTGAAAGTCTCCTGAAGAGAATCAGAGTTTTCCGATAGAAAAATATTGACTTTCAAGAATTCTATACCATTTCTACGACAAAATTTATTTTTCCCATATAAAAATTCGGGGAAAACTTTGAGCGCTTTGAGCGATCTCTAAATATTATTTGATTTTATTTTATTCGATATAGAACAATCCTAGGGGGTGAGAGCATTACAATTCCGACTTTACTGTTTTTGGACCACCCTAGTGTACACATCATTGTACACAGGAGCCAATAAATTATTTTATATTTATGACATTTTTGAATAGCATTAATGAGATCATTTCCATTTTCAGTGGTTAAATAGTCAAAGAATTCTATACATTTAATGTTAAAGTTACTTTTAATTTGAAGTTCAGTTTCAAAAATTTTAATTAGAAGCTGGTTTCTCTCTTTGCTCAAGGAAGCAAACCTTATACTTAAGATCCTCTCAGTTGCTTCGTTTTACATATTTTTTCAAACTGTGGAAAAGTATTACTTTTTAAGAACTTCCTCTATATATCCGCATGGAAAGACTAAAAGCCTGTTTATGGCAACTTAACTTAACGGAACGTAGAACTTAGAGAATCAAAATGAAATAGATTACGTCGTGGCATTAAGTTACGTTAAGTTTCGGCTGTTCAGTTATAAACAACACCCATTTAACAGAATTTTCAAGAGAGAGCTGTAAGTTAAGTTAAGTTGCCATAATCAGACCATAAGAATTTGCTAAAAAGAGTAGGTATCTAACTCTATGTCTTGTATGCAAAACTCTTTAACACTGTCAGTAAATTGAGAAAAAAGAATTGTAAAGCTGAATTACATGAGGCGATTTTTTAGGCGATTCAATATTTCTCAAGAAAAATCGCTCGTGTAAATGGGGATTAAAAAATCGCTTCCCTCAAAGTAGACAGAAAGTCAGGCGTCATCTAAAGGCCGCTTAAGTTATAGGCAAAAGCCATTCGAATATTCAAATTTGCTATTATTAAACTGAAAGATATTTTCGAGATAACTAACAACACTCGACAAAAAAAACACCAGCCTTCTTTTTAAATAATTTAAGCTCATCATATTATCGCAACTGGTACGTAACGACCGGCGATATGCCCATAAAACTATTGATATTCTTGTTGTATTAATTTCTTGGGCATATCAAACATTATTTCAAACATTTCAACTACAATTCAATTATTTGCTTCCTACTTTTTACAGTGCAGTTTAAGCAAGTTCCAACGTTATGTAAAAAGCTTAAAAAAATCATAAAGTATTTTGTTTGAATTGAAAATTCAGTACAAATCAGTACAAATTTTGAAAAATCAAGACATTAGCGTACTGATTGAAGAAATTAATAAAATCAGTACAAGAGTTGAAAAATCAGTACTGTACTGATAAAATCAGGACGTCTGGCAACCGTAACGTGTAATCATAATTGTCCCGCCCACTCTCCAAACATTTATAATATTCTTCTTTTCCGTGCGCTTAGACGGGTGAACTGGCGGACAGACAGTCATAGCCCTGTAGCCAAATGTACTAGTCGTAAACTACCTCACAACTAATATGAACCGCATGCCCAACTAGTCAGCCAACTATCTTTTTTCCGTGCAATCAAGTGGTATTTTTAACATGGGGATGTCCTACGAGAAGGCAATTAGTTGTCAGATTTCGGTCAGAAATATGCCAGTCTCATACTAGTTCCAAAAAAAAAAATGAATTCATGAATATACAATAAAATACTTTTGATTAGTTACACTTTAATATATTACACATTTTTCATTAAGTGCTATTAAAAGTAAAAGGTTTCAGGTAGAATAAATACTATATTTTTATCCTTTTTAATAATATTGAGTGTGCAAAAGAAAACATTTTAGTTAAAAATAAAATGAATACTTAAGTTCATTTCTGAGTGAACTAAAATAAAAATTAAAGTTTTCATTAAAATAAATTAAATTCATTAACTTTGCACATTTCAGTATTTTCTTTTTAAAATTTTATGAATGTAATAATTAATGTTTAAAATTTGAGATTTGGGTAAGAATAAAACAAATAAATAATTCAAGCATTTATTAAATATTCTTAATTATTGTCAATAGTTTTCCTTGATGATTAATAATAGAAATTTATCAAATTATTATAATCGTGTAATTAAAACACGTCCTTTATTGTATTAAACTGTCGAAGTCAAAGGCATGAATAAATCGTTTGTACTTGGTACAAGTCTGGTAATTTTCGAACTAGTTCGGTTTCAGTCAGGAAATTCTAGTTGTACACTAGTATTTTTCCTGACTAGTTTGGGGTTTCACTGCAGGGAGCTTAATCGATTACTCTTTTCATTCTGAGCATGTATGTATATGTCTATATCTATCTCAGTTCCTTTAGTCTGTTACAAACAACCCTTATGTGAACAAAGCTATAATACCCTTGTGCACAAATTCACTCGGGTATAAACATCAGAATCATAAAATTTGGTGGAGAAATACATATATTTAGAAACAGCGGCTAGTGACTGAATCATGTTTGCCTTTTTCTATGCAGAATTATGAAAATGTTTTAAATGTCGACATTATACCGATTTTTAAAATAAATTAAATTTCTGGTTGGTACAAAATTTTTATTTCGTATATTACTACTAATATTTAGTTCACTTAGAGCACCAATTTTTTACAAACAAGTCTCCTGATTGGTTGCCACAATCTTCTACAGTTACGTATGTATGTAAAAATTTTACGCACTTGTAACGCCAATATGTGAAATCAATTATGAGAACAAAGCTTAGCAATACAAGTTAGCTTTTGAGGCAAGACAAAGATTGTAACCCCTTAAATACCGCCCACTCAATACAGTGCGTGAATATGTATACAAAGTATGTTCAGCAATCATCTTCAACCGGCGTTTTTTCTGTTTTTTGCTCATTGCTTCAATTGAATTACGACTAGTAGTGTTAATGGACCAACCAACAAATGAATCTGAACATACATATGTATGCGTGTATATGTACATATATATGCGCACAGAGTTAAACAATTATCTAAATCAGTGGTTCCCAACCTTTTCCAACTGACGACCAACCTTTTCCAACTGGCGGCCCACATTTTCCAACTGGCGAAATTCAGGGATGTCGTCGTGTGTATATGAGTCCTTAACATGGAATTTTTCAAAATTACTTATTGCAAATTTTCAACGATATTCAAGAATAACCTTTTAAAATGACTGTTTCAGTACCTATCCAAAAAATTTCCACTTTTTAATTCTACAGAATGTTCTCTTTTATACGGTACCTACATTGTTAATCTACATTGCACTAAGTATTTTTACTAATTTTTTTACTTTCTCTTAGCTTTAAAGTTTCAAAGTCCTTTTAAGAAAAATCCTGCCGTCAAATAGAGAAACTAAAAACGTAGTTGCACTATTTTTGGCACTTCGATCCGCGAATGCATACATTTTTTTGTGTGTGAAATTTACTCTCACACGGTGTTGAGAAAATTGCTATCTCAATCTACGAATATGTAAAATTTATGTTTTTAAGTAAGAATGCAATAGTAATGAGATTTTTGGGACTGCTTCAATTGAACTAACACGTCAATGTTAGGATCGAAAGAACATGTTTTTAATCTATGTTTTTCTTACCTTTTCTGATTCAATAGTTTTTGTTATACCCGAGCGCACTTGTGCAAAAGGGTATATTAACTTTATTCACATAACGGTTGTTTGTAACAGCCAAAACGAATCGAAATAGATATAGACAAATGTTTATATAAATACTCAGAATGTATAGAGAAGTCGACTAAGCCATGTCTGTCTGTCCGTCCGTCTGCAAAAATTGAGATATCTCAACGAAATGTGATATGCATGTTTCCCTTTATTCAAGGCAGGTTAGTATTGAAAATAGGCGAAATCGGACTGTCACCACGCCCACTTCCCACATAACGGTATTTTCAAAAAATGCAAAAACTACGACATTTCAGTAAATATTAGATCCAAATTGTTGAAAATTGGTATGTGAAGAGCAATTTTGGTACAAAATGTTACTTTTATGAACTTTTTGGAAAACGGGTGTAACCCCGCCCACTTATGATGAAATGCTGTATCTCAGTAGCCCCTTCACCAATCCTCACCAAACTCGGTACGAGCCTTGCCTAGGATCTAGCTAAGAAATCTGTTAAAATCTTCGAAATCGGACAATAACCGCGCCCACCTGGCATATAACGGTAATTTACACAAACACGAAAACTGCGAAGAATCGATAACTACTGAAGATAATTCCCTTAAAATCGATTATTGCAATAACCACTTAGCAGAAAATTAAATAATTTTAAATTTTGGGATAGTGGGCGACGCGCCCTTATGACCACATACATACATATGTGTATCTCGGTAGCCGATTTATCAATTTCTACCAAACACGGTTCACTTAATAACATTGAAACGGAAAAGCAATTCGTAAAAAATTATTCAAATCGGACTAAAATTACAACCGCTTCCCGTATAATGGTAAATTTCAGAAATACGAAAACTCCGATATTTCAATAACTGAGGATGCTTATTTACTCCAAATTAATAGTTGAAAACATCTTGTAACAATAAATAAGAATGCTATAGACCTTTAGGAATTGGCGTGGCACCGCCCACTTTGTGACTACAAAGGTGTATCTCGGTAAACACTTTATCGATCTCTACCAAACTTGGTTCAATTACATCATTAAGTCTAACACAGCATATTATCGAAAACGTTTGAAACCGGGAAAAACAGTCCTGATTATCATGCAAAGGTAGTGTAGATTAAATTGAAACGACGATATTTTGAACCTGCGCCGGGTATATATAAAGTTCGGTTTCGCCCGAACTTATACTTCTTTACTTGTAAGTTTGGGGATTGTTTCGCTACCCACCTCTAGCCCCTCGTCGACCCGCTGGTTGGGAACCGATGATCCAAGTGATTCCGTTCAACTGGGGATCTAACACTAACTACTAAATATATGTAAATAGATGTACATATAAGCGCATACATATGTATGTATTTATGTGTGTATACAGTAGATCTCGAATATCTGCATTCACGTTCAATGGACACGATTTAGTGTAGATACCTAAAATCAAAATCTTGCATTTTGGACACTACTCATTTTGCTTACCTAGTTAAGAAAACTCATTATCGTATACCTGTGCCTACATTTTATTTACAAATAAGTATCTATAATATAACAGAATTTTTCCTTCGAAATTACGTAAATTTGGGGTATTGTGAATTCCATTATTAACACGTACAAACATGTTTAACAAGTAACTTTATAACTGGACACAAGGGTCCACTTACTCATGGTATAAGCCATATGTATGTATATTAGCGTTGCCAAATGTCCCGTATTTGCCGGGAAGTCCCGTGTTTTGCAATAAGTTTGAAATGTTCCGCCGGGACAAGATTTTTCCCGTATCTTCGAAAATTGCATTATTCATTTCAACATATAAACCTCTACTCAACATGGTCATGCTTCAACGCGGCTATTGTGAATAGGTCATTAGCAACCATTATTGCAAGCAACTCTGTAAGAGAAATAAAGCTAAAAATTACAATTGATTTTTCAGAAATTTTTGTGGAGGGTGTTTCGAATTTCCTCCCATATAACGCATAAACAAAACGGACTTTTATATGGAAGAAAATGCGTAGCACCCTGCACAAAAAAATCTAAAAAATGGACGGTAATTTTTAGCGGCTTAAAACTTGCACTTTAGTATTAATAATAGATTGGCGCTTACGCGTATGTTAGTGTTTGGCCGAGCTTCTCCTCCCATGTGTGGCGTGCGCCTTTATGTTGTTACACAAAGGGGAGGGACCTACAGTTTTACGCCGACTCCAAACGGCGACTGTATTTTTAAGAAAAGCTGGCTTTCATGGCAGAAATATACTCGGAGGTTAGCCATTGCCTGCCTAGGGGCGACTTTTTTTTGCGATGTTGCTTTGACCAGGGCTTGAACGCAGGCCCTGCGGATTATAAGCTTGCACTGCTTAACACTACACCACAGTACTTTATTTTACCAAAATTGACTACTCGAAATCTTTCTAGGAAATCTAATCAAAAATATCGAAATTTTGATGAACATTTTTTTAAGTTTATTTAGTTTTTGTGAACTTCGTGCAGGCTTTGAAACATTTATTTATGTGGTATGTTATAAAGTTCGACCCATATTTTAAACGAAAATTATTAACAATATATAAAAAAAGAGTTGCCAACAACATCATTTTGAATTTTGCTGCTATTATTTTGACCGCAACTGTATCAGTTACTTTGTTTTTTATGGTTTTGTCAATTATACATACACATGTTTATGCACATACATATTTTTGTATAATCTAAAAAGTGTTGTCTGAAAATTACTTCGTTGAAATGGATCACCCTTGTTAATATACGGGTTTTTAAAGCAACTCCTTTATTCCTCATTTGTCCCGTTTAATTTTTGTCAATTCCGTATTTTTGGGACAAATTATGCGTTTGGCCCGTATAGCTGGAAAAAAACCTGGCAACACTAATGTTCATACATATGTAAATAGTTAAAAGATGATAGGTATTAAAAAAAAAAAACTAAAAACCCAGTTCTGCTTAAAAAAAAATCATCTGCGCAGTTAAAAGTGAAATTTTCGTACAAAACCCGATTGGCGAAGCACTACTACCTTAGCAATGTCTATTATTCAGCTAAATGGTATGTACTGTATAATAATCACGTCTATAGTTGCAAATTAAGTATGCAGCGTTACGCAGGTGCATATTCCAATACATCATGCTGTGCTTCCCCTGAGTAGTTATGTACATACATACATATGTATGTATATGAGCAATACAAGCCATCATCCCAGGTAGTAAAAATGCAACCGATATTGCATACGCAATATTGCATCCGTTAATTTCAGATTGGCCAATATTAGTTACGGTTCAAGTACAATAAGCTGACTGCGGCACTGCGGCCACCTATCTATCAGCCGATTGTTCAACCCACCATTGTACCTAGCATTCATTCTCGACCTCGACTCCGACAACATAAGCGGAAAACTTAATGAGGAAGTACTTCTTTTGGATTAAAACCACTCAGACAACTAGAGCCTTTGATATTCACAACAAATCGAACGGTAAACTGCATTACAATTTTCATCAGTTACACAACTCTCTGATTACATGAATTTCTGCACGGTTTATTAACCGAAGTGTAGCATGGATGGGCATTGCGATGGGCTACAAACGTGACAGTCGTACGCATTCAGTGTGGACAGAAATGTAGAAAATTCTAAGTATGTACTTCTTCTTATACATGTATACATACATATGTACTTACTAGGGAGGACAAAAATATGCACAAAAAAAATTTATTGTACGATCATTAAAATTACTCCAAAATATTAAAAATGTACTCGATATATTTAAACCTCAAAAATGTATACAATGTATATTTTGCAACGAAAATTTGTTTTACTATCGCATAAAAAGTTATTGTATATCGATGGCTGAGTGGAAGATCGACCTATCTCGGCAGCCAGTTCGAAAACGCTCTATATCAGAAAACTTTTCAAGAACGCCCTATTTCAGAATTCGTTTCAAAAACGCCCTATCTCAGTTGCCGATTCAAAAACGCCCTATATCAGTATATTTTCAATACATTTTGAAGTGAGATAGGGCGTTTTTGAACCGAATTTGGAGATAGGGTGTTTTTCAATTAAATTCTGAAATAGGGCGTTCTTGAAAAGTTTTTTCAGATAAGGCGTTTTCGAACTGGCTGCCGAGATAGGTCGATCTTCCACTCAGCCATCGATATACTTATATGTGTATTGAAAATGAACGCTCTACGTCACAAGACGTTGTTGGACAATATTTAAAAGATGAAAATTCTCCAGGTGAAAATATTGCTTCACACAAAATAATTTTGTTTCTGATATTGAGCAGTTACAATAGATGCAGATCCGGATTGAAACTCGCTGATCAGTTCGCAACACACCTGGAAACTGTTGAACTGCTTTCGCCAAATACGAACGCAAAGATTCTTTCTCTTTCGATAAATTTTCATTGAATTTTTCATCCACCAAAACCGGTTTAGCGCTTAACTGTACCATTGGAAAAGAACAGTCGAAATATTTGTATGAGTATATTAAAATTCTTTATTAGAAAGAAACGGAACTTTTTGTTGTTTGTCTGCCAGCTATCTGCGCAAAGGTGTTGCCAGATGAACTATGTGAAAATTAATAAATTTATTACCAAAATAATCATTTTTATGCATTTTTATGCTATTTCGGCAAAATATGTAAATACTTTGGGTGATAATATGCATTTTCATATTTTTGTCTTCCCTGGTACTTATGTACATATACATACTTAGGGAGTCCACAAGTAGTGTTACCGTTTAGATCCATTTACTGTTTGTGTAAATCTTCGGAAGATAATTTATTTTTTTGCTCATTTCTCGACATATGTACATACTTAAATTGTCCGCGTGTTACAAATTTTGATACATGACAAAGAGAAAATATATACATACGGTGACCATTCGTACCGATTTTGGTGGGACAGTACCGATTTTGAGAAAATTGTCGCGCTGAATATTTTTTAAAAGGCAGGAGGTATAAGTGTTCCGATTATACATATTTGTAACGATTAAGTCCCGATTTTCAGTGTTTTCTTTCACATTTCATTTTTCGTACAAACATTATCACAAAGAAGTCCTTATTTTCTATGATCTTTGGTTATGTTTTATCCTGTCAACCTGGTACTCCCGCTATATTGCAGTCATCTTTCTTGCAAAAGATTTTTTATAATTATATGTTGGGTTTTTTTAATGAAACGATTCTAACTTGAATTTAGTGAACTTATAAAAAAGAATACTAATTCCCTCAAAAAATTCATGGATATGAAAAATATAATAGAGACAGTGGAAAAGTATATGTAAGTAGGCAAGAGACATTTCAGCACTCTTGGGCTATTCCCCTTTCGATTATTTAATGTTTATTTTTTATGAAAGTATAGCTCTTTATATAACAAAATCAACGTAAATCAAACTTTGTATAAAAATTCGACAAAGTTTCATCAAAATATTGAGTTTTTTAATTAGATTTCTTAGAAACATTCTGAGTATTCAGTTTTATAGAGCATTAAATTTTAGTAGTGAAGTGCAAATTTTTAAGTAGCTAGGATTTATCGTTGATTTTTGGCAATTTTTTGTGGAAGGTGTTGCTCATTTCATCTATATAGAAAATGTTCTAACATATGTATGTACTTTGTATGGAAGAAAATGCGCGAACAAAAATTCCAAAAATCAACGTTAAGTCCAAGGTACTTCGAACTTGCACTTTCTTATACTAAAATTGAATTGGCTACAAAAACTTCATGATCAAAAAAATTCTAAAAATCTGATTAAAAAGTTTAAAATGATAATTAACATTTGTTGAAATTCGTCGATTATTTTGTAAATCGATGGCTGAGTGTGAGATCGACCTATCTCGGCAGCCAGTTCGAAAATTTTTCAAGAACGCCCTACCTCAGAATTTGATCGAATTTCGGAATTTAGTTGAAGAACGCCCTATCTCAGCTGCCGATTCAAAAACGCCTTATCGCAACTTATTTTCAATATATTTTCGTTTGAGATAGGGCGTTTTTGAACCGAATTCTGAGATAGGGCGTTATTCAACCAAATTCTGAGATATGGTGTTTTTCAATAAAATTCTGAAATAGGGCGTTTCTCAATCAAATTCCGAAATACGGCGTTCTTGAAAAGTTTTCTGAGATAGGCCGTTTTTGTACTGGCTGCCGAGATAGGTCGATTATCCACTCAGCCATCGAAATGTTCTACAAAGTTTAAAATTTTGATCTACATGATTTTTTTAAATAGTATGCTATATTTTCATAAAAAAAACTTGCTAAAATGCCTTTTCCCTAATATCTTTCTCGCCACCGTACATATTGTGTGCATACATTTTTGCGAACATTTTCCAGGTTTTTTTATCTTTGTATGGGCCATTTTCTGAAGTAACCTTTAACTTTAAAGCTCACGTTATATTCAAAGGTTGGATTAAAAATAAAGCTATGTCTAATGTTAAGCATTTCTATTATCGGTTTTTGACGTATGTCTGTTTCTTGGTTGTAAATCAATTTAAAACCGACAATAAAATGATTTACTTTAGACACAATCATAAATTTTAATGTAGCCTTTAAATATAACGTGAGCTTTAAAGCTAAAGGTTACTTCAGAAAACGGCCCTATGTATTATAAAATGTTGTGTTTTTTTACCTTCCTTTTATTAACTCGGGATGTAACTATGTAATACTGATGCGCCTAAAAGATGCAGCGATTCCTATTCTCAAGTTACATACCTGATGACAGTACGAATGGCAATTATAATAGGGAGGTTTTAGATTTTTAAACTATAATTTTATTTATTATTCTAAAAACCAAATTGTATGTTTGCATTCGATGCTTTAGAAATGTCCCGATTTTTTTCAACAGAAATCTGGTCACATTATATATAAATACGTACTAGGGATGTTGCAAATGTAGAATTTTAGACATCAGCGGATGCGAATGCGGATGCGGATGTCTAAAGCTAATATCCGCGGATGCGAATGCGGATGTCAAGTATTTTTAAGAAATAATTTATACAGCTACATATGTTATCAATACCGTACTTATAACGAAAAGCGGCAGGTATTGGAAAAGGGGACGTGGCACCTCCCATAAAAACTGAACTTCTCACATCGCTTATGTCTGGACCCGCTTAAGCTGACGTCCTGAAATTTGCCGCTGCTATATCTTGTTCTTATTTGGCGCTGTAACCGCCTAAGCGATTTTGGCCGAGTTCAACAAAGCACGCCCGTCGTTTATTTTCTGTGCCAACTGACGCCAATTGGTAATGCCAATTGAAGCCAAGTCCTTCTCCACTTGGTCTTTCCATCTCTCTCTTCCTCTGCTACCACAAGGGGGTTACGAGTTGAATATTTTCAGAGCTGGAGCGTCGGTGTCCATTCGAACGACATGGCCAAGCCAGCGGTGCCGCTGTATTTTAATTCGCTGCACTATGTCCATGTCGTTGTATAGCTCATACAGCTCATCATTTCATCTTCTGCGGTACTCGCCGTGGCCAAAGCGTAAAGGCCCGTAAAGCATACGCAAAATCTTTCTCTCAAACACTCCAAGAGCCGCCTCATCGATGTTGTCTTTGTCCATGCTTCTGCGCCAGATACCAGCACGGGCATGATAAGTGACTTATATAGTGTGGTTTTCATACGTCGAGGGAGGGCTTTACTCCTAAATTGCCTGCCAAGTCCAAAGAAGCACTTGTTGGCAAGAGTGTTTCTGCGTTGGATTTCTATGCTGACTATCAACAGTGACGTAGGTGCCAAGGCGCGAATGTTCTGACTGTTTGTTTGATGACAGGAGATACTTCGTCTTGTCCTTGTTTACCACCAGACCCATTCGCTTTGCTTCCCTATCCAACTTGGAAAAGGCAGAACAGACTTCGCGGTTTTTGTTACCGATGATGTCGATGTCATCGGCATAAGCCAGCAATTGCACGCTCTTGTAGTAAATTGTTCCTGAGCGGTTCAGTTCTGCAGCTCTTATTATCTTCTCCAACATCACGTTAAAGAAGTCACATGAAAGGTAGTCGCCCTGCCTGAAACCCCGTTTTATGGCGAACGGCTTGGAGAGATCTTTCCCAATTCTGACGGAGCTGGTGGTATTGCTCAACGTCATTTTACACAGCGGTACTGGAAAAGCGGGCGTGACACCTCCCATATGAATTTCTCATACCGCTTATTTTGCAAAAAATTTAGCCAGTGGATGGTGCTGCAGCCGAAATATATAGAAACCCCATGTGTTCACTTCAGATGGCTAAACTTTCTCTGACGCCTTCATACACCCTTAATGCGATCTTGCATTTACCTCCGATTGAGGAAATTGCTCGGAGCTGCCGTTATTGCAGTAGTAAGACGCAAAGAAACTAGTTCATAAATATTAAAACGAATTGTAAAAGTGGCGAATCGACGAGGAAAGATTCTACCACATCCGCCCAAGAAGGAACACAGACGTCCAATGGCTTCATTTCAACGATATTCAAGAGATCACACGACTCCTTTAGCCAATGTACGGGAAAACTTTTTATCCTTGGCCCTCCTATAACGGAAAACGCTCTTCTGTGCTCTTGAGTTTCCTTATGAGCACTTTTTATTGGCTTACGCATCGGGCCAATGTTGTAGTTGCAAGATAGAAGATTTTGCACGCTTGACAGAGATTTCACAGTTGCCAATAAGAACATTGGTAAAGCTCATGACATCGAAACTGAGCTACTCTTCTTGGCCCATGTATGAGGAGGATTCTACTCTTAAGTCGATTCAACTTTTTTATTTTACACATCGTTTTTCTTTTAAACGTTATTTTTGCATTGGCTCACGCAAAATTTCTTAGTAGGCGCCGCGAAGCAAGCGGGAATTGGCTAGTACATATATAAATATTTTGAAGTTGTGCGCCGGGTGTATGAAATTCGGGTTTGCCCGAGCTTGGACTGCCTTACTCTTTATATTATCTGCTGCGTTAATTTTTCTCGATGTGTTTATTAAGTATAATCAATTTATTCTAAAATAATACTAAACTATCAATTCTTCACTCTCATGCCAGAAGCATGAATGTGCAAATTTATCAGTTTTGAGTTATTGGGTCGACTTGATTAACCTTTGAATGTTCCATGTTATACCACAATCCAGAATATCATGCGTATGCGGAAAGCACATATTTTACAATTAATTGCATAAATGTAGAGTTAAGTCTCGTAAAAAAAACTTCCAAACTTGATTTCACAAAATTTAAATTTTTACATATTCATGTTTCTGGCATACGGGCGACGATATGTAAATCTAAAAAAATTTTACTCACGTGCATCATAAGTAAGAAAAGGACAGTCACTGGGATATCCGTGTATTTTAATCTTTGTCGATAATATGACATTCTGAGTTAGATATAATATTACTCCAATTTTCACCGACGGTTTATCTGGAATGCAAAAAAGTGTCATATTTTAAAATATGTAGCTCAAAATGTTAAAGATTATTCTTTTCTTATAATAATTTGTAGGCATAGTAGTCAAGTAATGTCATTAGAATTAATGCCAATTGACATAAATCCATTTTCATAAGGCAATTAATGACAATGCCATTAGCACGCAGGCCAAAAGTGAGTGGAAGGTCAGAAAAAAATGTGGAATTAATGCCATTGACATTAGTTCACTTCGGCTAACGTCAAACAAATATTTTTTCTGAGATCCTGATACCCAAATGAAAAGTGAATTCTCAAGTATAGCACACTGGTGTATAACTGTAGTGGTGGTATATAATTGTAGCAAAATTCACAGATTTACACCAAGTTATACACCAGTGTGATATTTGAGTTAATGTCAATCAAGCTTTACGGTGACGTATAATTAGGCCAGCGGAAACAACGTCCATGGACGCTATTTTTCATCATCCATAGAAAATATTATTATTATATTCCTTGAACGTTTTTGCCCTCTCAATATTGACAAAATCCACTTTTAACATGCATATACATATGTACATATACGTACATATGTTTGTACATAGTATACAGGTTTAAAAGTCCATAACACCACGGCAGTCCACGTCGTCCACTCAATATTTATAGAATTTGAAGCACTTAAGTGAATTTACCCTATATTGAGGGCTATGATTATTTAGGCCAATTGACATAGTACTTGTTATGATGAGTTGAGCTTGATTTAAGATACGAAGTCAAGTGAAAAAAAAGAGGCATGACGTTTCAACCATTTTTGGCTATTTTTAATTTGTTTATTAGATCTGTATAAAAGTCTAGTTCATTATATAAGAGTAACCATGTAAATCCACAATTCAACCCTATTACAGAAATTATAAGAATTTAACAAATAATTACCAAAATTTTAAACTTATCCGAATTAAAAAAATGATCAGTCCAGCTGTGTCGGAGTCACAGCCGCTAAACTAAAACGTAGAATACGTGATAATAATTAGAGCATATTCAGGTTAAAAACTGTACATTACTTTTGATTTTATTCGATAGAATTTTGAACCCATTCCAAGTGCTACCCATCTTTTAAACTGGTGGCAGCCGTTTTTCATATTCTTAGTGTTTAAGCTAAATATTTCCTAATACTTCTTCGATTGACACCCATATTTTAATACTTCATACAGTAACTTTTGTATAATTTAAAAGATGGCAAAATATTTAATATTTAAAATATTTTAAAAAAAAAATATTTTTCAACTACAATCTTCTTAAACCCTTTTCGTGTGACACCAAAATATACATATTTAAATTATCTAATTCCCTAAAATCAAGCTGCATTTAAATTTTGAAACGGGTGGCAACTCTGCTACACGTGTAAACATATGGCAACCTTATTCAAATTTCTTTCAAACTAAAACGTCCGACACCCGTATTGTGATGCATATTTACATCATCTGATTCCCTTTATTCAAGATAAAATTTAGAACAGGTGGCAACCCTCCTACTTGTAGTAATGTAAATGTTTGAAGAAATTTAAAAAAGGCACATAAGCGGGGAGGTACTTAAAAGAGGGATTTTATTCAGAATACATAAAAAAATTCACGGTGCCTTAAAATGTTGGGAACCTAAGCGGGTTAGGTACTTAAGCGGGTTTCACTGTATTATCAATTATCCAGGAAAGTATTACATTTACCTGCACTGGCTCTACACCAGAGGCGGGCATTTTTTGATTTTCCAAACACATGCAAATTCCAAGTTTTTTTGTTTGGACACTTTAATTTTTTGGTATAAGCATTCGCTGCATGACACCACCAGACAACATTCCCTAAATTTCGGTGTTTAAAAACATTTAAATCTTGAAAAAAAACTTGCTGAACAGTTTCCTTAAACGCAATCATAAATAATCCAGTAGGGAATAGATTCTTATTTTGGCTGTCAAAATATCATATTGCCTGCAATAGATGTCAAGCAAAAAGCGCTGACATACATTGCATCCCATGAAAAATAGGAATATATTGGAAATATGTTTTGAGACATGGTTATCGCGACATCAGTGTTTTCTGTGCAGACAGGGCCTAATCGGAAAATGTGGTTCCACTGGTCGCGTATGTCGGATTGTTGAAGAGTGCTCTCAGAGAGCAGGTGTGTGAGTCGAGTGGCGAATAAATTGGCCGTCTGTTGTGATTGCAGCTTTTCGACGTTCAGCTTTCCTTGCATTGCTGGGCGCACATTTTTTGCTGCACAGAGGCGGATGCGTATCTTGGCTACAAAAAAATAGTGGTCCGATCGATGTTTGGCCGTCGGAGTGTACGTACGTCTAAAACGCTGGAAGCATGCCTTCCGTCTATCACAACATGGTCGATTTTGTTTCTCGTTTTTCGATCTGAAGACAGCCATGTAGCTTGGTGGATTTTTTTTGGTGGAACTTGGTAACACATATTTCTGACAGTGGCATTAAAATCGCCGAGCACGATTTTGATATCGTGTCGAGGGCAGCGCTCATATGTACGCTCCAAGCGCTCATAGAAGAGATCCTTGGACGCCTCGTCCTTCTTTTCCGTCGGGGCATGGGCGCAGATGAGCGAGATATTGAAGAAACTCGCTTTGATGCGAATTTTGGCTAGACGTTCATCCACCGGAGTAAACGCCAGTACTCGGCGACGGAGTCTCTCTCCTACTACCAATCCAACATCGAATTTGCGCTCCTCTACGTGGCACTTGTAGCAGACGTCGCAAGGCTTCACGCTTCCCTTGCCTTGCCCCGTCCATCGCATTTCTTGTATGGCGGTGATGTCAGCCTTTATCTTCCCAAGGACATCAACCAGCCGGGAAGAGGCACCTTCCCCATTAAGGGTCCAGATATTCCAGGTGCATACCCTCTAATATTAGTGCTTTATACGTTTGCCGAGGTCGTCATCAAAAAAGGAGGTCTCATCCGGGGCTTTCTGAACTTTTTAATTGGGCAGGGTTTTAACGTGACGGGACCCAAACTCAGCGCACGCGAATTTTAACGCCTTCTCACTTTAGTTCGCTCCCAAACGGGTGTTTGGTCACTACCCAGAGGATACGTGGATATAAATATCCGGACGTTGTGAGCTGCGATTTGAACCGTACGCACAATAATCACTTCTGCCCACTCACAGGTGAATGGCAGTCAAAAATTGTCCACTTCGGCGCGCGGAACCATCCTCATTTTATTAAGTTATATATATAAATGTGGTAGGTTTTAAGCCGTGTGTGGTAGATGTGGTAGAGACCCAAAGTTTTTAAAATTTGTGGTAGATCTACCTACATATACATATGTATGTGGTAGAGATTTGCACACTGGATGACGGACATTATATCATTCGTTTTATATAATGGACGTGCACGTCATATTACCTATCATTCTCTCTTCAAGAAATCCACAAAGCGGAAGGAAAGAAGAACATTAAAAAAGCACCGCAACGGAAGCTGATATGGTCAAACGAAGGGCGCAGGTGCTACGTTTTAAAAAATTGCTATTACCAATTTATATGTATATGTAAATACGAGTATACATACTTACTTATTTGTACGTATGTATACATATGTATGTTAATAAATGAATCATAGAAATAAATGAAGAATGTAACAACAAGGCCACAATCACTACGATGTTGCAGGTCAGCAAATTATTTCAATAACAGCTATTTTGCAAAGATGTTAAAATACATATATATGTATGTACATACTAGGGTTTTCCAATATTTCTCTTTTTTCCAAAACCGATTTTCGAGTTATTCTAGAAATTACAATTTGATAAAAACCGGTTGCCGATTTTGAAATTAAAAAAAAAAACGGATAAACCGGTTTTATTTTACATAGTATGAATTTATGACCTTAAAATGCAATAAAACTATTAACATTAAAGATAGCTTTTATTGAAAAAAAGAGCAAAGCAAAATAAGTACAAAGCTTTTTATATCGAAATTAAAACAAACAAAAATCAGTGAGAAACTCATGTTTGATAATTTTTAATACTTTATTGCATTTTTTCTGTATTGTTTCGGTTCGGGCTGTCGCCATTCGGCAGACAATGGCAACCATCCGGGTGTACTTCTGCCATATAAAAGCAGAACACGAATGCTAAGAGAAGCTCGGCCAAATACGTAGAGAGCGTTTAAGTGGCAACCATTGGTTTATTGGATATACTGTTCATCCCGAAATAACCTAGGATATAATTTTGAAAATATTTAGGGGCTTCCCTTGAAGTGCAAAACTTCGAAAAAACTAAAAGTTTTATTCAGAGGTCAAGATTTGGATTAAATGAAAAAACCCGGTTTGTTCGATCAAAAAATCCGGTTTATTCGATATTAGAAAAATCAAGATTTCAAAAACCGTCTATAGATTTCCAAAAAACCGGTGGAACCCGATTTGGAAAAGTCGGGTCAATCACCCTAGTACATACATATCGTCGTTTAAAGTACAAAACCGCGTATCAACAAAATGCAAAACCACATAATTAAATAATAAATAAAAATTATTTTCTAGAGAGTAAAGACACTCATATTTCAAAATGGTTCCCTTTTTTATAAAGCAATCGCATTTCCGGATAGTATATTTCAGGGCGAATGGATAAGGATTGAGCCAAGAGCTTGTGTGAGCAAATCCAATTTTTGGCAGTAAATGTCAGTTACACGGTTTTGTACTTTAAACGACGATATACATATGTATATGCATACATACATATGTATGACGTGAAAAATTGATCCGAACACGAAATTGCTTTCAAGCTCTTTAAATATGAATACTGTTTTCTTATTTTTGTATTTTTGTAAAATATTTTCCAGAATCTCACCTTTATAAAAGAAAGCTAAAGTAATAAATAAGTTTAGAAATGTACTGATTTTTAACATTTTAAACATTTGCGTATCACTTTGAAACTCATTTATCAGATAAGCTAATGTTGAAGTTTTTTCCACCTTCTTCATAGCGTTCACGTGAGGTTTTTCTTGTGAGGCAGGCTTTTT